TTTGTCTAGCTGTTTTTTTAATAATTTGAGAAGTTTCATCGAATCTTCCATCATTTTTTTTAGAAGTTTCTTCAATCATTTGCGACACGTTTTCAAATTTACTATCATTTTTTTAAGTTTCTTCAATCATTTGCGAGACATTTTTAAATTTCTCATTCATTTTTGTCAAAACTGTTTCTTCTGCTGATTGAAACTGGAATGTCTCTGGGTCGTCTCCTTTCTTGTTGAGAACAGTCTTCAGTCGTTCTTAGAGGATCTTCTTGGGCCCGCTGCAGTCTTCATCGCGTTGTTCTAGCTGCTCACGCAACTGTTTTACTGAAAGTTGTACTAGCAGCATCTTTGGTCAGGCAGACACGTACTTTTTAAAATGTTCTTTCGTACAACGATCACTACCGAACTACGCGGATGCTCCCGACGAACAATACTTTTCAACAGTTCAAAAGTCTTTTCTTCTTTTTTTAAGTCACTGCTTAATTTTTATTATTATTTTTTTAATAAATTTTAATTGTCCTCACACTGTGACACCAACTGTAGCGAGTTTAATAAAACGAGCGGTTCGAATTTATATAAATATATTTATTTATAAGTTTACAGTTCGGTAATATCTTAACAACTAAAACTTACTCCTAACATCGTTACACATATATACCAAAGTTAGTATGTTCTAGAACATTCCCACCTCTAATTCGCCTACTTGACGGATTGTTCTCACTCGCACTCGATATGCCTGGAAACTTTGAATCGCTTTCAAGATGCAACCGCTACACGGGACACGCTGAATACATGTTCGTAACATTATATTAGCCATTCGTGGACGGCCTTCTAATGCAGGGCGCACGAGTTCGAATATTGGTTTTAACAACAAAATTTCCGTTCGACACCTGATATGAATACAATTTTAACTCTACTTACAATGTTTTTCAACTATGGAATAAATAACATATATAAAGGATAACCGTTATTTTGGTCTAATAACTTATCCTATCTTATGTAAATATAAAGGTATTTAACAAAATAACCTCATTGTAAGTATAAATTTTGAATCACTTAATTAGTCAGTCATATGATAGTGCATAAAATATATCTGGCAAATATTCAGACAAGAATAGAAAATCGCAATAAAATTGTTGAATACGTACCTTGCTCTGGATATTCTCTCAATTTGGTAGGATCTTTGACAGCAGAATCCTGTCTGAACGCTACTTTCTTGTTCATTTTTTTATAAGAATTATATACATTTTTCTCTGCTTCCACATAGAGATGAAAAATTTTGACTGAGAACTTAAAATCACCTGTTGTGAAATCTCTTTTGGGCACAACTAAATCGTTGTACACTGGCTTCAGCGAAATAAAAAATGCGCTTTTTAATATCTCTAACGACGAATGTGAAACTACGGCTGTCAAAAATCAAGCACCTTATATATATTTGAAAAAATAAACACTTTTATTGAAGGATCCAAATCCGAAAGGAGGAGAGTCTTACACGGTATTGTACAGTCGATATTCCTCTACGCGGCACCAGTCTGGAGCGATGCGTTGGAGATAACGGCCTATAGGAGTCTCGTGACACAAGTGGACAGAACAAGTATATTGCTAGTGGCATGCGCCTACAGGACTGTGTCTGCGGCAGCCTTATGGACCATCACTGGATGTATTCCGTTGAGTGTTTTGGCGGTGGAAAGAAAAGAGCTGTATAAGAGAAGAGGCCCGAATCTTAATATGACCGAGAGAAGACAGGAAAGGGAAAGGTCAGTTGAAAGATGGCAAGAAGAATGGAACAACACGGAGGATGTGGCACAGTGGACGAAAATCCTGATCCCGAACATAAGAGATTGGGTGGACTGTGGCCACAGGCGACTAGATTAATTTCTGTCGCAGGTGCTCACAGCACACGGGTGTTGTAGGGCCTACCTGTATAGGATCGAAAAGGCTGATACAGATTAATGCCTACTATGGATACTCGAACATCGTGACATATATAATGTTAGATTGCAACACATGGATAGTGGAAAGGAATAGAATGGAGAGAGAAACAGATGTGAATTTTGTGACAGTGAGAGAAATGATTAAGAGAATTATTGAAAATAAATTAAGTTGGACTATCATACATAGCTATATCCGTACAGTAATCAAGAAAAAGGAAGAGGAAGAAAGAAGCTGAACCAACGGCAAAAGTAAGAGTGAATGATGCTGAAAGGTGAAGCTAGAATAGTGGGTCCTGTATGAGTTAGAATGCATAAGTCAGACTGTGAGAAAGAAGGAAATGTCCGTCTGGGAATGATGCCGAACTAGAAGCGATGAGTGTTTTCTACGCGCTACCTGGAACGAGACAGGGAAGCTCCTTGCTGATGAATAGAGTGTGGATGTGTATGAATGGAGAATGAATAAATAAAGGTAGTGCTCCGGAAGTGATGCCGTTCTTACAGCGGCCATTCTGCTTCCGGATCGCTGGATGACAGAGGAGAGTCTGCTTTAGCAGGTAGGCGTTCGGCGTAGACTAGGCGACGAGAGAGCATTGTAAAGTACCTCGGGAACTATCGCCGGGAGTACGAAGAACGAATCCTGCACTAAAGTTAGTCAGGCGGCTTCTTGGACTGAGATGTCTTTTAAAGATTCCAGACCCCCCTCTATAAAGACGAAAAAAAAAACATCATTCATAAAATTTTACATGAATTCATTCACTTAAAGGATCATTCGAACACTATAAAATCACCAATTGACATCTAAATATTTAAACAAAAGTGGATTGAAATATATTTTCCCCAATTTTGACATTGCTTTGCGCCTTTATTTATGCAGGTCATTTTCAAAAATGTCAAAAATTATAAATAATGTCTGATCAATTATTATGATGCAAGAACGTCTTAACAATTTGTCGATTTTGTCCATAGAAAGTGACGTAACAAACACGATAAATTATGATGACAATGTAGATGATTTTGCCAAAGAAAAATCAAGGAAGAAATCTCTGATGTGATCGAACTGGAATGACAATTTTTTCTGTTATATGTATATAAATATCGTAGTTTAAATCCATTTTTAATGTATTCTTATTTAAATAAAAAATTTTGCTTACAATTTTTGCAGCTACTAGAGAATTGCCTAGGGCGCCAATTCACCTAAATGCGGCCCTGAAGACTAATTAGTTGTTGGCAGGTCTTCAACTCAAGTAACGGAGACTTTTTAACTTGCAATTTTCGTTCACTGTTTAGCCTACAGACGTAATTTGGTTTTATTTCAAGTATAAATATTAAAAATGTTAGAGTTTTCTTTTCGACGCTAAATGGCTTTTTTTAAATCATCAAATAGAAAGCATGCTTCGGATATGCACATGTAGAAAAGGTTTCTAAAAGTTGGTCAGACGAGATGGAACTACAATGGACATTTAGTGCAAACAGTGCTTCAATATTGTGATTCGTTAAGACTTTTTTTAAGACGTTTGGGATAATATTTAATTTTATTATTTCTAATTGCAATTCATCCAAATTTCCCACATTTAGTCCTTATAAGTTATATATCTACTAAGTAGGTATATATTTTGTTCTCGACCGTTGTAAGAAAATATTTTTTATACCCTTATTGAACCGCCTCCACTTCCGAAAATATCACCTCACGATACTGTACGATATAGTACAGAACATGAGATGTATGATAATTCGCGAACACCGTCATTATCATTGGTGCTACAGCCCTATAAAAGAGCCTCGACCTTCCCAAGTCTATTACGCCAGTCAATTCGATCCATTGCCAACTCTTGCCAGTTTGCTCCGCCTATTTTTCTATCATCCTTATCTACACCATCCCTCCATCTGAGTTTTGGTCTAACCCTACCTCTACTTCCCACAGGTTGTGACATAAAGATTCTTCTAGGAGGGTTGTTCTGGTGTGATCTTGCCAGATGTCCTGCCCATCTTATTGTTCGTATTTTTATAAGAGATACTACGTCTTTACCACCAAATATACATTTATATCTGTGATATATCTCGTAGTTGTATCTCCTTCTCCAAAAATCATTTTCACAGATGCCACCGAATATTTTTCTCAGGATCCTTCGTTCAAATATAAGCAGGAGGTTTTCATCTGCCATGGAAATGGTCCGTGTCTCCGATCCATATGTCAACACTGGTTGTATATGGTTATTTTTCTTTTTTGGCGTAAGTACCTGTTTCTCATATGTCTACTAAATCAAAAATAGCATTTGTTTGCTAGGATTATTCTTTGCTTGATTTCTTTCGTCATGAAGTTCTCCTTGGGGATCAGGGAGCCTAAGTATGTGAATTTGCCCACCACTTCAAAGGTAGAGTTATCAATATTGAATTGATGGCCGATGTATTTGGCTCTATTATTGGTTGTTGATGCCATTATCTTAGTTTTCTTCTCATTTACTTGCAAGCCCATATTTTTTTAGGCATTTGACAAGGTGGTATCCATTTCTTCTAGTTTGCGTGTTGTGCGAGCAACTAGGTCAACATCACTGCATATGTCAAAATTTGGGATGATTTGTGATGATATTTCGACTTTGCAAACAACTTTACGCAGTGTAGCCTTAACCAATATTATCAGTTTATCGGGGATGTGGAATTCATCCATGGCTTCATACAATTGATTTCTTAGGAAACTATCATAGGTCGTTTTAAAATCTACGAAAAGATGGTATGTGTCTATATTGAATTCATTGATTTTTCCAGTATTTGCCTTAGCACAAAGATCTGGTCTGTTGTTGATCGACCAGGCCTAAAACCACTTTGATATTCGCCAAGAAGCTCCTCTGAATATGCACTCAGGCGGGTATATAAAATACTCGAAAATATTTTGTATACTGTATTAAGGAGGGTTATTGCTCTTTAGTTTCTACATTCCAATTGATCATGGACACGAATTGATAAAAAAGATTAATTTAAGCACTACATAAACAGATAATATAATATAAAAAGATATATACGGTAAATGCATAAAATTATTGTTTTTTATTTAAATATTTTATTTGAGCCGTAACTTACCTATTAAATTTCCATGATTAACAATATCTTTGATTCTAAATCGACTTTTTTTAAGTCTAAAATCAACCAACAATTTGTCGACCTTCATAAATTTGACTCCGGCTTCATTCGTAATTTCCTTTCCAAAAATTTTACCCACCCCCTCGACATTGGCTAAAATTGTACAAATTCAAGAGAATATAGTGAGAATTATCTTACATCTAATCATATAACGAGTTGTTATGCGTGTAAAAGAAAAACGGTGATATAACTTACTAAATAAAGCCACGAAGTCTCCTTTTGACTTAATAGGAAATAGTAAAACATTTCCATCCACGTCATATTCTCCTCTGACTTCCACTTTTGGCAATATTATTCCTAATTCAATTATGTACTTATCTAAGTTCGTTCTAAAAAATATTTGTTAAGATATCATAAGCAAACTATAAGTAGTATCAAAAACAAATATGTAAAAATATCTAGAACATTGACTCATTATTAGTTTAGTAAAAGATATTTAAAAAGAATTTCCCCATGACAAGATTCAGTTGTTTTTATATTTATTTTGTTTTATTTATAAATCCTTTCCACCAAAAAATGGAAAAAGTTAAAAATTAGAAGTAAAATCAATTTTTAGAACAAAAATATTTTAATATAATATATAAATATCTTTTAGATATTTATATATTATAATACAGATGAATAAGTCCTCTCTCACTCCTAAACAAAACACCAAATATGCTTCGCTCCCGTACTTCCCACAAATAACTAACAAGGTTAACAAACTTTTCAAAACCTTACCTGTCAAAATAGCCTTAAAAAATAACAGAACCTTAGAAAAGTTATTTCAACCAGACAGTATCGATTTCATGAATACCAAAATACTGTGCAAATAAAAAAATTCATCAGCGTCCCTAAATAAGACATCGACAGCTTGAACCAGATATATCACTCTCTCCTCATACAAAACAAATAAAAAACTCCTTACAAGACATTAACTTCATTCCCATTCTTCTTCTTTTTTTGTTTCTTAAACAAATAGAAAAATGAATCCTTTTTTAAAAAAAGTCGATCCCCTTTCCGTTCGCCAATTCCCCCCATAATTGTATCTCCCTGCATTCCAAATAAACACATGTACAAGAACAAGCCACATGTGAAATTATGACATCTTACAACTGATAGAAAACAATCGAAGAGATTAGTGTGGTTTACCCCCGAAAGTGCTTAAACCAACATTCAAATGAGGCCGTCGGTCAAAATTAAATCAACAATAGTGCTTTTACAGTTTATCTTGTGTTTTTTGTTTCGTTTCTCTTATTTAGATGTTAATTTTTAATGTTAAGTTATCGTAGAGTTTTTCTAACATCTAAAAAAAACTATAAACTGTTTTTGTAAGTATGAACCCTGTTGGTTATTTACTTATATTCTAAAATCTTTTCTATCTGTACTCAACTGATTTTTGAAATAAATCAATGAAGTAGTTGACTTTCATTTGTCAAGTATTGACCGATAAAACCTCCGTTATTCAACCATTAAATATATATATATATATATATATATATATATATATATATATACAATATATATGTATATATATATATATATACAATATATATATATATATATATATATATATATATATATATATATATATATATATATATATATATATATATATTGAAAAAGTTGTATTTTATTAATTTTATTTTTATTTATAATAAATGTAATTTTTATATATGTGGTTCGTTGTTTAATTTAATATACCTCATCTAGCTCAATTATGTGTTCTAAGCAATCTGTCACTGTGTGACGTCGACTCTGTAGTCTCCTGGTAGAGTTCAAAAAAAAATGAAACCAAAATTTACTTTAGACTTTTGATAAATTAACCCAAATGAAGCACGTTATTTATTAATATTGAACAAATTTAATATAAACAATAAAATTCGTCTGCAACTTCGGTTGCCTTTAAAAATTTACAAAAATAGGAATCGTTTAAATCTTAACGTGGTTTAGTGACGTGACAAAAAAATGTATCACAAAATGTGGAGACTCTCTACAAGTACCTAAAAACTAAATAAATATTGCAACTTTATAAAGTGTTTAAATGAACTATAAAGAAAAAGAAACTGAACACTTTACTCCGCTGACTTTAAACTTCAAATATAATATAACTCAAATATAATCAAAATTTCAAATGATCCCCAAAATTATTGTCCAACCTCACTTTAAAACAGTTTTGATTTCTTTAAAGGAAACTAACTACTCAAAAATAATCAGTGAAACTGGAATATCAATCCTCTCTTCGGAAGTTAAGGTACGTACTATTCTATTTTTAATTTAATGATCATTATTATTTTCAATGTTTAAGGCCTATCGCAATTATGTTAATTCATGAATTTTAATTTTCTGAATTTAAATGACATTTCTATACTCCAATATAATTTATAAGTGAAATTGTTTCTTTTACTCTCTGGAACAAATTTCTGGATATCTCTGCTGTGGAAAAACTAAATTCAATAAAACAGTTTCAGGGCTCTCCTTCGTCCAAAAAAACCTCGTCGGCGTCCTCTCCAAAAAACCAATTATTCCGTTGCTAACAGCAACCAACATTCATTTTTTTTCTGTCTTCTATTTAAATATTTTAAACCATAAAACTGTCCTGTTTGACATATTTGTCAAGCCACATTACTTTCTGATAAACACTTTAATCACATATAATTTGGGAATTTATAAAAAAAATGTTCAGATATAAAACTTAGTCTATTACAATACTAATTTATTCTTTTCATCTCCACATCATTGTAATTTCTTATATAACAAAACCCCTATTAATTTAGCTCCCACAGACTGTCAAATAAACTGTCAAGCAGTTTATTTTCTGACGTTTATTAAAATTTCTGTTTAAATATTTTTTTAAAATTCTTCTTTTTTGTTCTTTTCTTTAAGGTTCTCTAAGGTTTAGACGATTCACCTATACACTAGGCAACTATACTATTCAGAAATTATTAACACTATACCAGGTAAGTCAAAATTAATTTATTTAACAATTTACTAATCTTTTTCTCTCTTTTATTTCAGAATCGAACCCACATTGTGATGGCTTCATGAAATTCATGAACAACAAACTCATATAAAAATCCATTTAAGTTGTACATTTTTTAACATATTGAAATCATTTATTCATATATATATATATATATATATATATATATATATATATATATATATATATATATATATATATATATGTATATATATATATATATATGTAGATTTATATATATATATATATATATACAATATATATATATATATATGTATGTATATATATATATATATATATATATATATATATATATTTGTATATATATGTATATATATATATATATCTATATATATATATATATATATATATATATATATATTTATATATATATATATATATATATATATATATATATATATATATATATATATATATATATATATATATAGATATGCACACTAGGACGAAAGTTTACACAAGACCTCAGACGATATGAAAAACTACGGTTAAAGCGAAGTAAGTTACTTTGTAACCTTACTTTTTTAGAACGCTGCCGCGATGAAACCATACCCACTTGTCTGAAGTTAAGTTTCCACAAAAACTTGCCCTTTAAAAGGGCAAGTCTAGCATTTACCAGAGAATCGATTCAGGACTCCAGACGAGATATCGATAAAGTAAATTCAGAGTTGCTAAAGCTAGGTATATCTCACACTAAGCAACAAAGTACATACGACGCTTTGGAAATCTTTCACAAACTCACAAACTTTCGATCGGAGACTGGTTCTGATCTTACCAAAAAAAAACAAATCAAAAAGTTTGAGAAATTGATACTACAACAATGACCAAAGAATAAGGAACTGCCAACAACAGTATCCATTAATTTAGTCTACAATTTCTCAAATCTTACTTTGGATGAAGCTACAAATAGTGTCCTTTTCAAAGGGTTCAATTAATATGAATTAAAATCTAGTATTATATATACCTTTAGGCTTTTGCTGTTTTATAACTTTATTTTTTAATTTTTATTTCATAGTAGGCAGTATTTATGTTTTGCTTTTTATTTTGTATTGTATTATATATATATATATATATATATATATATATATATATATATATATATCTTATTTTAGATAATTATAATTAATAAAAGCTACATTTACTTATGCGTTTAATTTTAAGATAGTGAAACTTCACTTAGTGAAAAAACTCAAATTTGGTCTTATCTGCTTTCGTCCGCCAACCACACAACTAATTATTTAGTAGTGTCTTTGGATAACCCTTGTTAATAAATATCTCAAGTAATTTGCTTTGATTGTGACTAAGAAACCGGCCGTTACATATATGGAGTATTCTATTTTTCATAGCAAAAACTGTACTGAACTTTGCCTGACGCAGTATATATTATGAATCTCGTATTATAAAATTGTCTTTCATCCTCATTACTTTAGTGTCCAAGAAAGGTTCTGATGGCATTTTTCCATCGTCCGTCTTGGAGACGTTCATTATGTCCAGCCCATTTTCATTTCAGTTTTGCTGCTTGTTCTATCGCGTCTACTGTCTTTGTTCTGGTTCTGATCCACTGGTTACGTTTTCTATCTTTAAGTGATATCCTATCCAAATTGGCCTGTGTAAATGTCCATGTCTGTGCTCCGTAGGTGAGCACCGGTATTATACAGGAGTTGTGTACCTTGCTTCGTAAATATAGAGGGATTGTTTGATTCTTTAGAACGTAAGAGTTTGCCGAACGCTGCCCATCCCACTCTTACTCGTCTCGATATTTCGGCTGTTTGATTTTCCCTGTTAGCTCTAATTGCTTGTCCTAGATAGATATACTCATTTACCTGTTCTATTTTTTCTGTTTGTATTTTTATTGCCTCTTGGTCTTCCGTGTTTGTCATTACTTGTGTTTTATTAAAGTTAATTTTTAGGTCTTTTTGCAGTGATTTTTCATGAAGTTCATTCAGCATGAATTCTAGTTCTTGTCGTTCCGAGGAGATCAGGAGTATATCATCCGCATATCTAAGATGATATAGGTACTTTCCGTTAATACATAATCCTCTGTTTTCCCAATCCGTTGATTTTATTATATCTTCGAGGGTCAAGGTAAACAGTTTAGGTGAAATTATATCGCCTTGTCGGACTCCTCGTTTAACTTTTATATTATCCGTTATTAATTTGTCGTCCAGAATTACAATCATGGTTGCGTTTTGGTAAATATTACGTATCAATTGTCGGTATCTTGAATCTATACTACTATTGACCAGAGTTTCTTTCACCGCTCAGTGTTCAATGCTGTCGAAAGCCTTTTCGTAATCTACGAATGCTAAGTACAGCAGAAGGTTGTATTCATTGGTTTCCTAAATT